CCCCATTGACAGCGTCTGTACTTCACACGTGTTTAACAATGGGACTGTTTAATTTGTCCCGGCTAGTTCAAACCGCCGTTGCGTAGACGGTGATAATTTATGCAGTGCTACGTGTGAGCGGGTCAAAAGGATGTAAACAATGCATCCTATTAGCATGGCGGTGAAGTTGTAAGCATGGCGGTCCAAGCCCAAGCGTGGCGGCCGGGCCGCCAAGCATGGCGGTACCGCCATGCTTTGTTCTATGTGGGGAGAACACTGACAGCCATTCGACCACCTGTTGGTGAGTTTGGCCGTATCAGCCTATGTCTCGGACACGTCTTGGCCAATCACATCAGCCTTATGTCTCAGACATGCTTTGATCAATCACATCAGCCTCTGTCTCCGACACGCCTCGGCCAATCACATCAGCCTATGTCTCGGACACACTTTGACCAATCACATCAGCCTATGTCTCGGATACGCCTTGGTCGATCACATACAAAATTCACACACATCATTTATCTTGGGATACATATGCATGTCCATACATTTCTTGATCTGATTCAAGATGGCCAAATGGTGGCCATTTTAATTATAAAAATTCATCAAAATCATGCATTTCTGTTATTCTAGAACCAGATCTCCGTAATTTATTAATGGATTTCATTTAAACTTAGTACATACATTAGATATCATCGAGACCTTGGTGCTCCTCATTGTTCTCGGATCGGACTGGTGGCCATTTTTGTTTCAATGAATGTTGTTTCAGATTCAAGGTGGCTAAAAGACATGCTCTGACTTTACATGCAGTGTTTGAATGACTGGATTTGGTGATGATCATGTATATTGGGTTACACATGCACGTGATATTTTTTTTCAAATTTGGACCAAAATGGCTGACTGGCGGCCATTTGTTTTCTTTTCCTTTTTTGTGCCCATTCCTCTGAAACATATTACCTGATTCACTTGAAACTTTGTACATAGGTAGTATGCTGCAAGGTAACACAACAACATGTTTTGTCTTGAGATTTGATCAAATTTGTCAAATGGTGGCCATTTTGTCAAAAGAATGAAAAATATCATTCTGTAACATGTCTGGAATAGGGCATTTTCAATCAAACTTTGTATGATGACCTTACATATTAGATTACGGTGCAAGCCATATTTCTTTTGGAGATACTTGAACAACAATACCTGACTGGCTGCGTTTTTCTTTCATGCTATTTCCTCTGTAAGATTTAGTTCCACGTAGGTACTACACTGACAGTAACACAATCTATAATCTGTGTTAGTGTTAAAAAAACATTGATCTTTCATTTCTACATGTCACTTGTACTGAACATTTACATCAACTACAGCTAATACTTAACGGGGACTATGCATTATCAATGCTTGTTTTCAGATGTGTTTTTGTGAATAAATATCAGACTAGAGATTCTTTTTCAAACTGTATGTTAATTTATTCTCTTTCTCAGGCGAGTACATCAGGTACTAATGGGAGTGCTTTCAACGGATCACCTTTCACGACACCAGTTGATACAAACCTGGACTCTGCAACAACTAATAACAATGCAAAGGCCTTCCATTCTGATTCATCACACTATGCTACATCATTCACTACAGAGGAACTTATGAAACAGAAAGCTAGAAATACTGATGACGGAAGACCACCTAAGTCACCTCCTCCAATTACACCACGTCCAAGGCCGACAGTAAATGCATCATCAAAACCCAAAGTTCGACAGACTCTGAGTGATAGATCTCGCGAACGGAAAGTACCGGCATCAAGAGCAGGAAGAATGATGAATTTTGGTAGTTTGGCTGCTGGATTGGGAATGGGAGCGATTGCTGAATTTACTAGACGAGCTGTTGGTGCGAAGGACGATAGTATGTACATCATTGTGTTGTATTTTAACTTTGTTTTGTGGTTTTACATTATTGTCTTTATTCAGATCTATGTTATTGTGGATACTCTTCTTAATGAAGGTGAAGTCTGAAACAGCGACTTATACTTTGGGTTCCTTCCATGCATCTGTGTCTATCATAAATTCTCAAACATGACTTGACTGATTTGGGTTGGTACAAAGGGTAAAACATAACAGTATACATATGCACTTCAATTTTATTTACCTGTGTCCGACTGGCAGTGAAGTTTTTGGTATTTACATAACAAATAGTTGGTTACTGATAGTTGTATATTTTGAATGAATTAATGCATGTTTTTAGTCCCCATTCGAACGCAGTCCGAAAACAAGGACTTATGTTTTGACCTCCATGTTCGTGCCTGCATCCGTGCGTGCGTGCATCCGGACCTGTATCTTAGAAATGCACATACATCATACATGATATTATACATATGCATGTCAATTTGTTTCATGATCTGATTCAAGATAGCCGAATGGCAGCCATTTTTGTGCTCAAAATCATCAAAATCAAGCATTTCACAGCTGTTTACAGATGGATTTTGTTCAAACTTGGTATATACATTAGACATTATAGGACCTTGATACACATCATTTTGTTTTATGATCTGATTCAAGATGGCCGAATGGCAGCCATTTTTGTGCTAAAAAATCCTAAAAATCAAGCATTTCTCGGCTGTTTACAGATGGATTTTGTTCAAACTTGGTATATACATTAGACATTATGGGACCTTGATGCAAATAATTTTGTTTTTCAGATAGGATTCAAAATGGCCGACTGGCGGCCATTTTGTTTTAATGATTGGGCTTCTTGAGCCATATCTCTTAAATGCTTTGACTGATTATATTCAAATTTTATATATTTGTTATACATCATGTTATATATATATACATGTATTCAAAATGGCTGATTTTGAATGCTGTTCCAGAGCAATATCTCTCAATATGGACAAGTACTTGTTTGACGATCAGATACAAATGTCAATCATTTTAATGTTAAAAAATCATATTCCTGACATGGTTATATTCCAGCTATATTACTATAAACAAAACTATATACAGTGGCCCCTCGCTAAGTCGCGCCTCGGTAAGTCGCGATTCGGCTAAGTCGCGGGTACTTGGATGGCTCCCAAAATTTCTATTGTGTTTTGACAGCAATATTTTGAAGTACAAAGACTAATGTTTCGTGGCATAGTGTTTTTAACTAACCGTTAAAGAGACAACTTAACACCCACTGTCCGTCAATTGCTGAGATGCAATGGGTGACGGCGGCCTTACTCAAGGTGTCAACAGGGGTGTCGAGTAGTGACCGTACGTACTTCTTGGCCGGTCCCATTTTGGTATACCTCTACAAAAACTCGCTACAATGAGTTGAATTCATAGAATTCTGATCTCTATTTCTCAATTGAGCAGCATGTCAAAGCGAAAGCTATACAGCCTGTTCGTACGCCATAAACTCACGGCGATCGACCGTGTCAAACCAAGTTAAGGGTTGCACGTGGTTGAGCCCACTATTCGTGGGTGGGTAAAAAATGAAAAGTAAATTTGTTTTCAAAGTTG